GCGCGAACCGTCACTCTGCAGAAAGCCAGACAAAGCGCCAGCTCGCGGGCCCCTTCACCATCTCCCAGAGAGAAGAGTCTTTGTCACATGTCGCTGGGCACCCTCCCCAACACACCCACACATGCCTACACACCCACACGTCCCCGCACCCACAGGCAGGGCCGGGCGCAAACCCGCACTGTTGCTGGGACCCTCGCATTCACAGCCTTACGCTGAAGGTCATAACCGTTCTGCATCACTGAGTCACGTGGAGGGTCCACAGCAGGCACGGGCCCTGTAGGGGTTAGGGGGGCAGGGTTGGGGGCGATGCGCCCCGGCGGGGCTGCTGCGGGGTGGGGCCGAGAGGGCTCGGCCTCCTGGCTGGCGCTGTGCCCCGCCCCCGCCCCGGCCCCTCCCTCCTCCTTCCCCGGCTCCCCGCCCCGCCTGGCGCGCTCGGGAGCCAACCGGTCCCCGCCTCCGGCCCGATTGGTCTGTGCGCCGCGGTTTCCCAGCAGGCCGGCGGTGGCACGCTGTTTGAAGCTGTGCGTCAGTGATCCTGGCTGTACTGGCAGCCCCTCTCTCCCACTGCTCCCCCTACTGGACCACTTCCCCGGAGAGTGGCCCGGGACGAGATCCGCTCCGCCGAGAAACGGCTCCCGGAGTGTGTTTGTGGGCGGGGGTGGGTGATGAATTTCTGGCTTTCTGCCTCCGAGATCCCGGGCTTTGGTGGGGGCGCTCAGGGCTCAGAACCAGGTCCGGCACCCCAGTCGGGAAACAAGGGAAGTCACTTCCCCCACCCCAAATATCTCCCGGTCTTCAGGCTACCCAGATCCCTCCCATGCCCTGTTCCTTTCCCTTCCCTCAGGGAAACAGACTGATGTCTAATACTGCCTGATACACCAAGTAAACTTGAGCAAGTTATTTAACCACTGAAAACAATTTCCTTATCTAGGCCAAGGGGTATTGATTATGTGTACCTCAGAGGAGAAGAAATAAGGCAGCCTGTGAGGGGCTCAGCCACCTGGCAGCTGGAAGCCATTCTTACTATTGCTACTCCCCGGGCCTCAGCTGTTGCATTTGTAAAACGGAAGCACCTGGGTTCTAGCCCAAGTCAACCCTGATGCTCAGTGGCTTCAGGTGTCTCCTTGTTCCTTTTCTCCCATCAGTGGTGTTTTCATTCATTCTAAACATACACGTTTCCTTGCATCCATCATGTGCCACACTCTGCGGGGAGCTGGGGGACATCAGGAACCAGATGGGCCTGGTTTCTGCCCCCATGGAGCAAACTCCATGCAGTACAGATGGGATAACAGATCCTCCAAAAAGCAAAAGGGGCGGGGTCTACAAAAGGGAAATGCAGTGAGGTGGAGAGGCCTCTGAGGATCCTTCTCACTCCTGTGTGATTCTAGATTCTTTAGATGGTTTAACTGGTTTCCTCTTCCCAAATGCCGTGCCTTGGCCCAGTTGAAATGTCCCCATCTCTTTAAAAGGAGTATGGACTAGTCTCAGGGACAGACAGGCAGACCTGTCACACCAGACAAGGCAATGTTGGCTGAGCCCCATGCTGCAGTGGCCACCAGGGGGATAATGGTTGGGGAGGCACCCTTCCCATTCAGGTCTCCAGATGATAGGAATTCTGGGGGAACGGGCAGAATCTCTCAGAGTAGCAACAGGGCCCAGCGGCCCATCCTGGGCCTGGAGTCCCTACTGAAGGTGCCAGCAGAAATCATGAGTGGGTGACACCCTGAGATGCCTTCTCTGAAGTGACAGCCAGGCTGTAGCCTGTGGTCAAAGACATGCATGCTGGAATCCCATCCACCTGAACTTGCAGTCATGGGGTATCTCTCAACGCTGCCTCCCAGGCCCTACATGGCCTCTAAGTTGGACTTACCACCCCAGCTTCCTGCTGTCACCCAGCTGTTTAATGAGCAGAACTGAGGACCCTTGTGTACAAAGCATGTGGACACCAGCCCCTCAGACAGCACCCCTGCCCGTAAAGCCTCCCAGGCAGGTGAGAAATGGAGAGAAGCAAAAGATGATGAGGCCGAGGGAGGGGCTTTCCAGCAGCTGTCCCACAAAGTCCTAGAAAGTGGAGCATACAGCTCCTCTGTGAGGGCAGGAGGTGAGGACAAAGAAGGCCTTCCAGGTTCAGATTTCCAGGAAAAGCTTACCAGGCAGGTGCAGAGGTGTGGAGGTGTGAGAGCACAAGGCAAGTTTTGTGTGACTAGAGGTGACCATGACAGGGGAACCTGGTAAAGACATGGCCTGAGGGCACAGGGTCACAGAGTCTAGAGATGACTGTGGTAGAGTTGTCTGGCTTGACCAGTGACACAGGAATGGGTGGTGAGGTGGATGGAACATAGGTTTTGGTAACTGGGTAGATGGTGACACCCACCAGGAGGCAGAGGAGGACTGGGTGAGGGAGGCTGATTTTGGTCCTGATGAGCTTGTGTGAAGGACACACAAGGTAGAGGTCTCCAGGAGGGGTTTCCACTTTGGGTCTGGAGCTGGAGGCTCAGGACAAGGCCACCCAAGGGGACTGTGCTGTGTGAGGAGAGGAGGCCCAGGGACAGCCCTGAGAATTCCTACCTGCAGGGGTGGGAGGAGCCCCCAGTGGAGACTAGGGAGGGAGGAGGAGGGGAGCAAGATGTCGTGGAAGCCCAGAGAACGTCCAGGTGGGAGCTGTTAGCAGGAGACAGTGGGAAAGTGTCTGCTGGGCTTCACTGGAAGTGGGGACCTCAGTGAGAATATCATTGTGGCCGTGTGCTGTGGGGGGGGGTGGGTTTGTTAGAGGTAGGGGCTGCTCTGAAGAAGCGTGGCTGGGAGGGCAGAGGGTGGTTGCTTTATGCCACAGTGCTGTGGGAAAGGCCGAATCGGTTTTCCAGGGAAGGGATCCCTGAGGAGGGATGAGGTGGGATTCAGCACAGGCTCCAGGGTGAGCAAGGAGAGAGGAATGGGCTCAGGCCCCTGACAGCTTAAGGGACTCTGCCAGAATGGGGGTGGGGTGAGATGGGGAAACGCCACTCCACAGAGAAGCTTGAACCTCAGCCTGGTATCCTGGGGAACTTGGGAAGCTGTGCTAGCCTAGATGGCACCTTCAGTCTCTCCTTTCCCTGTCCATGCTGCCCAGTGACACCCTCCCACCCGCCTCTGTCCTGCAGACCAACATCCCCTTCCTGCAGAATGTGCTCAACAACCAGCAGTTCCTGGCAGGCACCGTGGACACCCAGTTCATCGATGAGAACCCGGAGCTATTCCAGCTGCGGCCTGCACAGAACCGGGCCCAGAAGCTGCTGCACTACCTCGGTCCGGCCCCGAGACTGCCCCCCCTCCCCTCCCAGATGCCTTGCTTCTGGCGCCCCGCCTCCCCAACCCAGAGAGCTTCTAAGCACCCCTGCCCGTCCCCAGTCTGGTCCTGTGCCTTCCTCCTTTGCTTCACCCCACCCGCCCTCCTTGCTCTGATCTTAGAGGCCCCCCTTTTCTATCCATGTGGCCCTCAATAGGTCCCCACTGCCTGGACCCAGGAGGCCCTGGCTTTGGAGAGGACAGGGGCCAGCTGGAAGACCAGGGATCCTGGAGGAATCCCCTGATCCCCGGGCCCAACTACTCTCACTTCTGCCCTCAACTCAGACTTTGCCCAGCCTGCCCTGACCTGCTGCCCGCTCTCTCCCCAGGACACGTCATGGTGAATGGCCCAACCACCCCAATCCCTGTCAAGGCCAGCCCCAGCCCCACGGACCCTATTGTCCCTACAGTGCCCATAGGTAGGTGAGATTAATTTTGCCAACTTGTAGGGGAGACAGCGAGGAGGCTGCCCCCTGAAGGATGGGTGCTAATGCCCTGGTCTGCCCTAGGCCCACCCCCAGCTGGTTTCAGAGACATCCTGCTGCGGGAGGGTCCTGAGGGCTTTGCTCGAGCAGTGCGGAACCACCAGGGGCTGCTGCTGATGGACACGACCTTCAGGGACGCTCACCAGTCACTGCTGGCCACTCGTGTGCGAACCCACGATCTCAAAAAGATCTCTCCCTATGTTGCCCACAACTTCAGCAAGCTCTTCAGCATGGAGAACTGGGGAGGTAGGCTGGAGGAAGGACGGAATGTGGTATCCACCGTACAGGCAAGCCACTGGGGCTTTCCAGAAGTTGGAGATGTTAACACCTAGGGAACCAGTGAGAACTGAACAAGGCACAGCATTCATTTGTTTAGCAAATGGTGACTGGTGCCCACTCTGGCCAGGCCTGGTGCCAGCATGAGATCTTAGAGC